TGCAGTTTATGAAAAAAGAGTTTTAAACCAGTTAGATTTATTTGTATTTCTGTTCAATGTAATGCAAGGAAAACTCTCTAAGTTCCAACCATAACAATTTTTTTTTCTGTTTTTAAAATGGCACTTTTTGACTGATATTAAGCATGCACGGTTGAAGTCAAAGTGCATTAAATCAGAGGATATAATTTAAAAGCAGTGGGGTTTGCTTCTTTTTTCCCACATTCCCTATTTCTCATCTCTCATCAAGTCCTTATATATGTTTAAAAAAAGTAACTAAAGGTTACAATATTAATGATATGTTTGCTTATTTATTATGTGCAATGAATTTTAAACTCAGGCCCATATGAAGATCCAAAGGGAGATGACCAAACTAGAAGAGAGTAAAGCAAGGAGAGTGGGTTAAAAGAGACGGTGAATATCTTTTCATGCTAAATTTTTGTATTTTAAAAAAAACCCAGTTCTTCTGATGGTATTCACCAATGAAATAAAAATTAAGTAATTAAACTTAAGTGTACATATTTTCCAAATTTTATCAAATTATTACACTTCAGTGAAGTACTTATGCTAAATAAACAAAGCTTACAATAACAACTCAACACTCCATACAGCATGATATTTATACAACTGGCTTGGTACACACTGAGCTTAACCCTTTGATTCCAGGAGTCATGATTTCATGACATGCCGTCCTCTTATAGAATGCATTTGTACTGATGTTGAAACAATAAATCTCCTAGCCTGAAGGAAAAAATATCTAACCAATTCATTGTAGATATATAAAACTATGAAGCTGAAGATAATTATCTGTTTATTCTCATTGACATAATGTTCACAGTCTGACTCTGTGAAAAAAAACTATTCCTTTAGAGACATTACTGGGAATAGAAACAACTAGGCAAACAAATGGAATTATAACTGTGCATATCACCATTCTATGCAGACAACAACGGTATGTGTATCATGGACAGATTAGTCTAAGCATAGAGTCTGCCTACCTGGAAGGGAAATAATTGCAATGCTGTACATGAATGGCAGAAAATTGACAGCATTTACCTTTGGGTTATGTTTGTGCTCTCACAGCTCTTAAAGAACCCCAACTCTTGCTCATGACAGTAAATGTTACATGAAAATAAAGCTGCCAGTATTAAAACTCATGCTAGATGATACCAGGTTCTTCAGTGGCTCTAAGGACAGTGACTTTCTGCCCTAGGAAAAGGAACTACATGTTCTAAGAGCCAAGGTGACATTTTTTCCTGTTATGCCTACTATGGAAATTTGGTGATAAGGAGAGAAATCCTTGAAAGCAATTAGTAAGCTTCACTGTGGATTACCATTATAACCAATTCTACACAAAAGAAAAATATTCTGAAACAAAAAATGGCACTACAAAAATCTTAATCTTACTACAGCAATATTTTACTGGATGCAGAGTAAAATAGTAAATGCTATTATCTCATCATATTCAGGTTAACATTACCCTCAACTCTGATCACAAAGCCTCAATAGCTATTTTGCAATGTGTCATTAATCAATGTATGTACTGATTGGGTCCATTCAATTGGTGCATCAGTGTAATGAATGGCATATATAAACATGTTTCAAATACATTTATTCGGATATCTATACATGAAAGTAAAATCACTACCACAATTGGTACTCAAGCTTGTCAAAAGGGATGTTTTTCTTCTTCTGTTTTACATAAGACATGCTAATGGTTATGCCATCTGCAGTGTGAAACCCAGACAAATGTAAATGAAAGTAATAGTAGATCAAGACAAGCATCTATCTGAAACAGCAATTTTTTCAGGTATTCTTGTAACTCGCAATCTAAATATAAGCCTCCTGTCTCTGAAAATACAGGATAACTACTAGTTAAATGTAACTTTTGCACTAGAAACTAAAACAAAAACTTCTGCACTTTTACAATAGATCACATAGCTAGTGGTACATTTGTAAAGGCTTTTCATGAGGATACAAAAGACACTCAAATTATTCTAGGAAAATTTCAGCAGTTCCCCTAAAGCCATCCCCTCAGTAAAGCACAGTAGAACATGACGACTTACCCAACACCCTCTTTTTGCAAAGTTGAAGGTTTCTTCAATCAGCTTTCAACTTGCTGATTAGCTAGTAGGTGCTGTAAGTCACTAAAATACTTGATGCATTATGAAACAACAAAGAGAACATACATAAAAACACCATATGCTACTTTCCCCCCAAAAAGATGGCCACTAAAATAAATACTAGTTTTTTTCTTCTTTGTCCCATGGAACAATAGAATATTTTACATCAAACTACAGAGCACAAGATGCATGGCAAGGCTTACCTAATAGCCACATATGCTTGCAGATGTGTAAGCTAATTTTAAAGTTTTTATTGCATTTTTACTAGATTTATAAATCTATTCTAACATAACCAGAGTTGGCAGATTAGTAAACGTTCCGAAATGGAGGAAATTAGATATGCACTAATTTAAAAGTATTTTAAAATATTAGGAGAAGTCTGTTTTTTCAATCACAAACACAAGTACAAATAGTTTTGCCTTATAACCTTCAATTTTGTCTTATAAAGCTTATACAAATTTAGCAATTTCTACTGCTAGAAGATTTTGGCTAAAGTTATCATTAAATTTGCCAGAAGAAAATAATAGTTCTGTACAATTTTATGACAGTATTTGGTCTAACAGGCAACATGATGATCAAAATGTGAGTTCCCGCTACATGATGAACAATGAACAGTAAGAGACAGAAGTAGAAAAGCTCAAAGGACTCATTTCCAAAACCTTTATACATTCTTTTCACTAAAGAAGAAAATTAAAATGTAGCTTGTGCTCATACCTGAATTTATATGGCATTTGATACATAAAACCAAAGTCTGGGAGCAAATTCCATCTTTCCTCTCCTTTAAAAATGAACTAAATGAAGCATTCAAGGCCAGTAAGAGACACTATGTACACAGTGATGATGAAAGAAAAAGTTGGAAAATAAGCAATAATCTAGACTTTAGGGAGCATGTAACAATTTCTGAAAATAAAATTATTTGCTTTATTTTCTTCTTCCTGCCTCTCAAGTGTGACTCATGAGATGCTGATGCCTCCCGGGAAACAAGTGATACAGCCCTAGCACATCAAGCCCTAGTATTTAAAGGGCACCAGGCCATAGTTAGTGTTTTAAAAGCATGAAAGCACAAGACTCCCTCTCTTCATCTCATCATCCTCTGGGTTCTTTGCCTCCAAACATTTTCTATCATTTCAACAACGCCTACCACAAACAGTGCACCCCCAGACTTCTTTAACCTTGAAAACAAAGTTTGTGGATGGGTGGAGAATGTGAAAAGAGAAGTAGCTCTGGGACTGTGTTGGTTTAAAAGGTGGAGGATTTAAGTAAGAAAAAATATGGAAAACATATACTGGGAAAATGCCACTCTTTATGCCTTTTTCATATACTTTCCTTAGTGCCTGGTTCTGGCCAATTTAGAGACAGACCATAGGGCTAGATGGATCTTGTACACTCTTTATAGAACCCATGTTACCTTTCAGAATGAGGAGCTGGCAGAATGAAGCCCTTTCACAATATTCATTGAATCAATCATTGTCATGATTCAACCCTTCAAGGTCACTAATTCCACTTTAAAAACTTAAAAAGCCCACATAGTTGATAAGCTTCTACCTTTATGTCTACTCTTCTTATGTGGCTTCAGTGCAGAAGGTATTTGATACAAAGCAAATGTGAATTTGCACTTACAAAGCAAAGTCAAGGGTGAAGAGTGGGAAGTTTGAGGGAGTCCCAGGACTCAGCCTTAGCCAGAAATGGACTACAACTACAGCATGGCAGGATGCCATCATGTCCTGTTTTTCTTTTTTCCATTTTCTTTAGCCATATTCCTAAATTCTTGTTTGGTTCTAAGCAAATAAATAAAACCTTAGAAGTGTATTTGAAGAGAGCTGATCAGGAATGTGGAACTGTTTGCTGTGTCCAACACTGCTCTACCAAGTTTCACAAAGAAAAGGAGACTGAGAATCACATTCAGAAACTGCACAAGTGAACAAATTTCACAACATTTCCCTGGTGGAGAAAAAAAATACATTCTAGTGCCTGGGGTCCTCCATTATGCATGACAAAAACTAAAAATGAGATAAAAACACCCTACTCCATCAGAAAACAGGGGAAGTCCTGAGAGAATTAATGCACACCCAGAAAAACAGATGTGAGGAAGAGAATGGTAGGATTTATACTTTTTTAATTTCCTGAACAAAATAAAATTGTCTGCAATAAAATGCAATTCAGCAGTTAAGCACCCATGTTGGTCTATATACAAGAGAGAACAAGTTTTGTCAGCAGAATGCAATTTGATATGGAACTCTGCATTAAGAATAAATGATTAATACCTCATAAAAATACCATACTGATAAAATTTTCTAGGAATAAAACTCTTTTTATGTTTTTTACTAATGCATTTAAAACAACTATTCAATAGCAGAACTTCTTGTTTACTCATTCATAATCTAAAACCCAACAACATCCTAATGTGAAATTTCATGACACATGTTTTTTTCCAAAATGGCAGAAGCAGCTTTCATAATTTCATGCACTTGTGTTGGTAAGTTTCTGAACACTTCTCTGTCACCTAGGCATACTAACTGTGAGGTATTTAGCTTTTCTCTGTGTTTTTCACAGATACTGTTTTGCTCCTAGTCTTAACATGTTTTTTACAACTTAAACCATGTACATATAAAAATCACATACCAAACCTGTAACATGTCTATAAAGAATTAATGTAACACAGTTACTGAACTCAGACCTAGTCTCAGACCTTTTAAGCATGTACAGCCACAAAAGGCTTTTGCATCCTGCAGTGGTTTTTCCCTGTGAAGTAAGCAGCAGCATGTGAATATGCAGGCGCACGGCTTGGGGGACAGGCACAGCCACACACCCCGCACGCGTCAGCCGGCTCCGCGCTCCTCCCTGACATCAAGGTCCCAAAAGCAAGGAGACTTCACTAACCTGCAGCGGTCTCTGTTTCTCACTGCCCTTAGGAGATTTCAGTCCACTTGTCTGTTGCTGTAAAAGCAGCTGCCTTGCTGCCTGGAGTGCCTAAAAGTAAAAAAAAAAAAGAAAAAAAAAAAAAAAGAAAAAAAAAAGTAAATAAATTCAACCAATTCCTAGAAAGAAATCAGTTACTCTTTGCTAATTTTAGGTAAAAGTCCAATTGAATGAACAAAATCCCCTCCTATTCGATTTGTATTTGCTATATTTCAGACTTCAGGGTTGGTTGTTTTTTTTTTTAGTTGAAACATTAAAAAAAATATTCTGAAAGTACATATATAAGACTTCACTAGAATTTATGGATGTACATGAAATCCTGCAGGAAATAAAGTTAATTTGTTTGAAGTGCTTGAAGAGGAAAAATCATAAACTGCATCAATAGCCTCATTTCCACAAGGAACTTGTCTTTGAGTGTTCAACTAAAATGCCCACTCCCTTGCAAATTATCATTCAATTTGCATTTTCGTATTACAATTTGAAGTAAAAGCAAGTAGACTTCAAGTGTTACCAGAAGCTGTAATTAAATTTGACAAATCAACATCAGATTATCTTGAAAGTGAATTAATAAGGATATTCATTGAAGATTAAAAACACTTTTTGTACTTACAATTCAAGGAGAAACCTCTCCTTTGACAAAAAAAAAGGAGTACAGTTTTAATGCCAAATAAAAATGAGTGGTTTTAATTTGCATTCTTAGGAAAATCAGAGAACAAAGAAATTATTACTCAACCAACCAGATCAGGCTCAGGGATGACAGTATACCAATCAAAATAGAAGATGTTTTCATTTATTTTATGTTTTCATTCCAACTCAGCCAAATACAGTTAAACATATGAAATGTAAACAAACATTCTACCTACCCGAAGGATGCTAATCTGTATTATTTTTCCCTATAAAATTATTTCTAAAATGTCAAGTGTTATAAAGTGGTACTTATTTGGAAATTAAAAAAAAAAAAAAAAGCAAAACCAAAAAACGTGATTCAAAACATTTCCACTGAAACTACCTGGAGAACTCATTTTTTCCCCTTAGAAAAATCAGCTCAATAAATAGCATTTATAGCTTTACAATACATCACACTGTTATTTCTGTTATTAAAACCTACTGCAGATGGAATGTACTGCAACAAATGCCATTTGATCAATGTTCCCTAAAATAATAAAGATTCTCAACTGATAAAGAAAGGTACAATTTTGATTAGACTCAAATGAGCTGGTTTTTAAGATAGTTTCTAGTATCCATGACAACAGTTGCTTTGACAAGATGTGCATATGGCATTACACTGCCAGCTGGTGTGAACAATGTTTGAACTACTGCATTGAGATGCTGAGCAAACAGAAAAAGTTGCCACGTCTTAACCCTCAGGGAAGGCAGTCATCCCCTGATCAATTATGAAAAGACAGAGAGAGGGCTGCTACAGTCTGGCTCCAAGCAAGTTTTCTGAGAAGGCAGGCAGACATAGAAAACCAAAGTAAACAAAGTGAATGCACTAGTACCATCTCCTAACAACATTGATTTGTCTCCCCATAGAAGGCCCTGGTACAAAGTTTGCAGAGCAGACTTTTAACATTTGGAGACATTCCCACAACAATCCCTGTATTGTTTCATCAAATTCTCAAGTAATTACAGGTCAGCTACACAAAGAGTATACATTCCTCTGAACCTAAGCAATGAGACACACAGAACTATCTTCTCTCTGCCAAAAATAAACAAAAAGTTAACATATTTAAAAGTGCACTTGAAATATTTTGTTATCAAGGAACCACTGGGTGCATGATCTCTTCTGCACTCAGTTCTTGATCATATCCTTAAGGACAGTATTTCTCTGCCTGAGATCAGAGTTAAATGTATCTGTTGATTTCAGGGGCACCAGGATTTGGTCCCAACTTCTTGCAGTGGTTGAAGCAAAAACAGATTAAAAGCACGAACAGAAGATATGTGGCAAATTTGTATTCTTTAATGTCTAGTGCTCTCCAAAAGGAAAACTTGAATGGAAGCAAGAGAACTACTGCACTCCAGAATTCATGAGACTGCAGAGGAAAACTAACCTCACCACTTGGGATGATACTGCCAGGAGAATGAGAGAAGAGATCTGGAGTAAGAGGAAATATAAAAAAAAAAAAAACATAGACACAATAATCTTTTATTTTTGGCAGTTGCAGAAATCCTAATCTTCCTCAGCATCAGTGTCTTCACATCAATACAATAAAACAAGCAAGTAAACATCCAGTAAATCTGTAAATTTACAGTACTTGAAAATTAGAGAATCATAGCCTGCTGTAGCTTAGATTTAATCTAGACTGATTTCAAATTGTGGCTAGCATACTCCTGTGGAATGAGTCCAAGAAAGTATGACTTCATACAGCTAACTACAAAAAGAGTCACACTTCATGAAAAAGCAAGGCAGCACAACAGGATATGCTTGCATAAAAGGCTCTACTACTTAAACTATTTTGATTCATATGTGCTGGTTGGGATATCTCTAAAGGAGTAAAGGCTTATCTTTTAATACAGAATGTCTTATAAATGATGACTACCTGAATACTTCAGTGATCTTATTGTGGCAGTTTAGATTATTGTAAACACAGGAGATAGAAGAAGAACAGAAAACAATTTCAAGAGATCAGAGATGATTTAAAACTCATAAGGAGAAATCACTGTCAGCCTTTGTTCTTAGATCAGTCATCATATAGTATTTTTTTCTCCAAGTGTGCTGCTTAACTTTACATTTTGCTACACAGTAAACAACCTCTCAGAAATACTGTTAATTTCAAAGCATTATTACTGACATTATTCATAAGTGAAGATCATGAGACTGTAAAACAATAGTTCTAAAAGTTCATTTGCTGCTATTAAATCTTTGCAAAATAAATTGAGAACTTGAAAGTATTTTACAAAATGCATAGTTTAACATCTACACTTCCAGTAAACACCCATCCCATATATCATTTATAAATTTCTCTGACAATAACTCGTGATCTAAAAACAGTGTAATGAAGATAAAATAACAGATGCTTATAAATCCGACAAATCAAATTTATGTTGAGTCCCACCTCAAGTTAAGTGCAGAAAGAACAGATTTGACGGCACTCAAAATTGTATCTAGTTCCCAATAACACTTGTTTCAAATTTAGTAGGAACTTTTCCTTAATTATATAAATGAGTAAAACTATTTAAAAAATCCAATGTAGACAAAAGCAATAACAAGAACTGAGGATTAGAAATTATTTTAATTACGTAAATGAAAATAATTATGAAACTTTAAGTGATGGCTATATAGGAAGGAAAATTTGGGCATATGGTTTCCAGAACTCACTGTGTCTTCTAGTAAAATATTTATTGGGAACAGTACTTCTTAATATTTACTACGAAGCTTTGGCATAGCTAAAACATAAGCAGAACAGAAATGAAAATAATTGCATATAACTCACACTATTAAAGTTGATAAATTGCGGTAGACTTTGCTGTTTGTTGGCAGTATTACTAGGAGATATAACTTCCTTTAATATTGTATTCCAAACCCTTCTGTCTGATCTAAGCGTGATTCAAAATTATTTTTAAAGTTTGACCATTTTAATAAAGTGAAAGCTGTCACCTAAAGATGGTAAGCTTATTATTCTGTTTTTTAGAAATTAAATATATGTGTATTTTTAGGAAACAGATGTCACTCATATCCTTCCTTTAAAACCAGGAATGTTTAACCTATCAGCCTGTTGCATTTGAGACGTTAAAATGAAAAATGACATCTATGCCCATTAATATCGTCAATGTATAAACAGCACAGCGTGACACATTCTTGAGAGCTGAAGGCTACAAAATCTCTCTGAAACATAAATAACAAAGCACTCAGAAGGATATTTGATGTTGATATTCATCTCTGAGAAAAACACTGCTGCCTGGGCTTCTTATGAAAATAGATGCAGCCCAAATGGATCTCCTGTAATTGGTTTCAGATAGCGAGGTCAAAAGAAATATGATACAAGAAACTATTATGTGGAACAGGCGAAACAAGAATGTTTATACAGGCACTCCCTATTTATACTGACAAGAGGTGTATACTCTGTAGATAACCAAAACACTTGCCAGAAGTCGACCAGATTCTTTTCTTTCTTAATTCTGAATACCTATTTTATTTTTTCAAATGACTGCATACCCTAACATTCCTGCTGAACATCAAATAAGTTTCTGAACATCTAAGTTTCCAAATGGCTGAATATGTCAAACGAGAGTCATCTCGCTGGTAGCACTATGCAACCGAAACATATCAACATGCTAAGCTGGATTTAAGGCCAAAGACTGCTCTGCACTGGTTGAATAACAAGTTAACCAAATGATTACAGGGCTACATTTATTATAAAAAACACTTCAGGAGAACCTCTGACCCTTTATAACCTGCTCGGGGCCTATTCTCTGGCTGGCTCCCAACAAGAATCCCAGAATTACCCACAGTTGTACAAAACCCTCAAAAGATAGTGACTGAAAGACAACATTGTTTAAGTCTTCCTAACAGCACTCAAATGACATGTCTAAACCTTTGTCTCTCACTGATTGTGTTTGCCCAGAAAGTTCTCTAATGAATATCAGAGTCAGTCAGCACAGAAGCTTATAATCTTTCCAAATGGAGTAGCAAAGCAGCTAGCACTAGTCAAAGAATCTTGAATTTAAGATGAGCAGTCTCTCCAGAAGCCTCAATAGAGAAAGCAAACTCCTATTTTCCCCAGTGAAAAACTCTCTTTTTTTCTCTAAGCCACACAAAGAAAATTGAGGACAAATGCGCCACACTGGAAAGTCCATCTGTGTGTAACAGAAATCCAAACCACACAACCTGTCTGATTTTACCTACAAGAGATAGACTGAGCAATTTTTACAGTGTTTGCCTTTAGAAGTAGAACAGACAGCTAAGGCTGTTGGCACCAATTTCAAGGAATATATTACCTAAAAAAACCCTAGATATTCCCTAAGAAGGATTTCATTCAATTAACCCAACATCGGACTATGCCAATACTCAAGCAAAAAGGTTTTTCTGTCTTCTAAATTTAGATTAGGGT